GGGGTGGGTGTAAACCCCGAGCTCCCGATTCACCCAGGGTTTTCTTGCACCACCGCGGGCAGCGGAGCACGGAGCACAGCGGCTCAGCCTCCCGCTGGTGCATGAGAGTATTTTTTCCGTGGGGGAGCGCTGATTCACTTGATCACTTACTGACTAAAAATGCTCAGTGCTCCGGCAGCGTGTCGTGTCTTTCCCTCCGCCCCCGTCCCGCGATAAACAGCAGACCCGGGGAGACGTGTCGGCACTACAGAGCGGTCCGTTCAGGTGCTCCAGCTGCCCCGAGGAGAGCAAAGCCCATCACTGGAGATGGAGAGCAGCAGCCCGCACTAGAGGGGAGGTTGCAGTAGGTGTCCCCCCCTCACCGCGGCGCCGCTGCCCCTGGGCAGAGTGGTGGTGGTGAGCACACCCTGTCCTGTCCTGTCCCCTTCCCGCCCTGTCCTGTCCCCTTCCCCCCCCCCCGCCCTCCCCCCCCCCCCCCCCCCCCCCGGAGGTGATCTTGCAGAGAGAGAAAAACGAGCGTGTGTGTCCTTGCAGGTGCATAACAAATAGGTTATCAAGCTGGGGGAGAAGATTAAAATTAGGGGAAGCCAGTCTCAGAGGGCCATCAGATCAAGGGCAGGCACGCATGGAGACAGGCAGAACTGCCTGGTCCTCAGCAGACCTCATCGGGTGTTTCACTGGACAGGGAGGGGCTGCCCGGAGAGAGCTGTGAAGTTTCACAAGGTCGGATATTTTTAACCAGGAGGTAGAGTGGCGATGAGGATCAGCCCAGAATTTTGCTTCAAAGAAAGGGAATCTGGTCCGTGAGGGGACTGCTGCCGTTTGTCTCATTGCTGGGATGTTCAGCCACACGTTTGAAATTTAGAGCCGCAGGGGAGTGGAGACATCACTCAGTCCCACTTTAGTCTTGTGACAAGAGCGCACACCGGGCACAAAGGCTGCCTGTACTGGTGAGAGCAATGCTTAAGGAAGGGAATGCTTCCTGAAAAGGGAACTGGAGAGGTCCTGTCAGAAAACCCTATGAGAGCTAAGGGTGACCCAAGCACCAACAAGGTCCGAGATACATTGAGAAGCCTCGTGCTATTGCTCCGTGTGCCAGCTTTGCTTCCTGGAGAGTGGGAGCATCAGTATGTGGGTCAGGCTCCAGACAGGACTACCTTTCCCTTCCCCCCAGGCTGTCCTTCTCTCACCTTGACAGGGACACCTCATCCTAGAGAACATGCTGCTCTTTAAGGTTTAACAGGTGTTTATTCACATTTTGGAGAGTTAGAGACTTTGAGATGCCACCCAAATAAGCAGGCTGTGAAAACTGCGGAGGAGCAGCTCTGACAAGATCAGGTTAGTTCACACCAATCAGCATTCAGAGTCAGTCAGAGAGTCTTAGAGGCAGTTTGTCTGGTACTGTCCGTTACATCTTCTGGGACTGGTCTCTCCTCGCATTTTCTACACTTTTTTTTCTACATATGCGTTTTTAAAGTGCAAGTAAGTGAAGTTAAATTACGCTTTACGTGAAAGCAGCATAGAAGGGATCAAGGCAAGCAAATCACTAGGGCCAGTCACCCCGTTATAATTGTTTAAATCAGGATTGACGTCACTGTAATCAGCAAAGTTAGCAGCTTTCCAAATCAGCTTTTGGTGAATTTACTTTATCGCATGAAGAAACACAGAACTTGTCTGGTCTTTCTTAGAAGAGCGCTGAATTGTCTTTGCTTGAGTTACGTTGTGGGTGTGCCTGTGCCAGTCCTGTCTCTGGCCTTGTTTCCTGGCTGACTGGACTGATGTTGTGGTCTTGATTTTGGTCCTGTCTCCTGTTGATCTTACCTGGGCTCTCTGGATGGGT